GTTAAATAAACTTTATAATGAATTAGGTGAATAAAAACATCATTTGATTTATAGTTAAAACGGAAAATCATAGTTTGTAAAGTGAAAGGCATAGAGTCTATGTGAAATGATCATTGGTCAATTATGAAACCAGCCTATTTCATGATTTGGTTTTCTTTTAACATTAAAATGATATTTCAGGGCCCAAAAGGTTATATAGCATAAATATGTGAAGTACGCCTGCAGTATGGAAACAGTACACCAAAATGGCCGTTTTACACTTTTTTCTAGTAAATTCCCCTCTAATATATATTCTATTCTCTTTGGTTTCAACAGTTAAACAAATGTTGTAGAATAATATATTTTTAATTACATGTATCTAAATCATAAGCAACAAATCCAAATATTTTGTCAAAGACCCGCCTTGATCCACTTGAGTATTTTGTTAGTACAGCATCTCTTCAATTGGAAAGAACAGGAAGAATTCAAAAACATTCCAATAGTTTTGCAGTCTTGATATTCTCTTTCTAATAATGTATGAACAGTGGTCGTACTTTGGCAGACGATAGTTTGGCCACCAGATGTCTCACGCAAAATTCTTATCTGATAGAAAGATAATGCATACAACCACAGTACGACCACAATTGAGAGACGTTATGTGGTCGACCACTGTAATGTTGAAAGGAATGGCCTCAGATGAGATCAGTTACGCTGCAGTTTTAACCTTAACAAAAATAATTTGAAAAAATGTGAATGTACAAAACTTGACAGTAGAAAGATGACTTGAATTTTGTCTTAAATATCTTTAGTGATGATGATATCATTTTGGCATGGAGGGTCACTTACATACGTCCATTAACGAGCAAGAATAAAAGATATGTAAAAAAATAGTAGAATGTTTCTTTTATTAAGAACTTAACAACTTGTTCCTTTTTTAATTTGTTATGACTTAAAGGGACTGTAAGCGTAATTGAAAGTGACACTGAATGCCAAGATATGAAAGACCCATTCACAATGGTACCCTTTAAACCTTTATCTGAATAATAATGTTTAAGATAATGTGTAAGATGTTGTGTTTTACAAGATTTAGGATTTATTGAAAATACAGTTATGAAAATTGTTAACATTGATATTTAATAAATACTTGATTAGGCAAAGGTTCAAAGTATAGGAATAGCCAACTTTTACATAACACAATTATGAAATGTAGG